CATATAACCATATACTAAAATCCTATATTTCCACCAATTTTTTTTGTGAAGGAATTTTTTGGCCCATCCAACATTTTTCTATTTTTTTCCCCACCAAATCCTATTTTTCTTACCAAATATAGAGGTGAAAATAGGATTTGGTGTAATTAACACTATTTTATTAATTAGCATATAAAATGATGATTTTAACTAATTGCACATAATTACCTACTTATTAGCATATTTATTGTATATACATTAGTGTTAATTACTAAATTAGTTTCTAAAATATAGATACATTTTTTTATTATTAATAAAAACATTAATTCTAATAATATAAATATGCTTATTTTTAATTAATTTGTATATTTTTTTTATATCAATGTTGGTTACTTCATTTCTTTACTTAACTAATACGTTAATTGCTATTAATAAAATATAATAAGCAACAATAGAATGATTAACAAAACACATTTTAATTGATGAAACACAGGATCAGACATTTAAATTGAAATAAATAGCTCATAAAACAATAAACAAGATAACATGATAACAAAACATAATAAACTATGACACAAATTATATAAATTTAAATTCTTATGAACTACTTATTTAAATTCTCATGATCTACTTAATGTCTCTATTGTCATAGTTGTTGTCGTTCGGAGATTCCGGGACATAAACATATTCATCGCTTCCTCCACTTCCCTATGTACTAAAATTCAAATTCCTAGCTGCTCTTGACATGTTTCAACTATATTTATTGTTTCTTATCACTCCAGAATTGTTTGACATAGGGTGTGAGATTACTCAAATCCTTTCCCATAACATCAATATCATGTTCAGCAACTTTTAATTTAATTTAATTTTCTTTCATGTCCATTTTTGTTGTTTAAGGCTCACCAATAAATGGCACGTGCTTCTCTTTTGTTCCGAATATTTAAGTACTCTTCATGCTGCTTTTGCATAAGATCTTGGCTATTTTCAACGCTGCTCATCACCTCCTACCACATAGGATTTGCAATTATTAGAGGAGCGGCTCGATTCTGGAAGAAAGAAGACTTGCATGAAGTCATGTTTCATGCATTATTATGCACAATATGATAGTTGAGGAAGAAGGTAGTGGATAGAAACGCTTATATTTTTTATGATGTTCAATCTCCCACAAACTTTGACTATGAAAGTCCGTCCTCTATCCTGCCTATTGAGCTTTTGAGGGATTTTAATAATGCACCATATGTTAGTTTTCTTGATCGACATCGAAATCTGATAAATCATTGAAAGCACAATGAGTTAAGAAGGAGATTGGTAGCACACTTGTGGGATAAACGTGCTCAGATCGATGATGATGATGATGATGATGATGATGATGATGATGATGATGATGATGATGATGATGAATGACATTTTTTTTATGATTTTAAATTAATTTATGTGGTAATATTTTTATTTATGCAATAATTTATGAGATTATCGTTTATGTATGATTTTATTATATATAAAATAATTTGAGTTCATGTTATTTCATGTTTTAGATATTTTTTTCAAATTGATAACATAATTTGAGTTCATGTTATTTCATGTTTTATTACTTAAAATTGGATCTATAATTAATATTTAGGAAATAAAATATACGAAAATTACGATAAACATTAGATTTACAGTTTTTGAGCATATATGGTAAAATGCCATGGGAAACCAACCCATATCCTATTTCATATAAGTGGTGAAATGGTGAAATATTATTATTTTAATATTTTTTTTAAATTTTGGTGAAATCCATGGGAGACAAAAAACCCCGTTTTTTTCCAAAAAAAATATGGTGGAACGGTAAATGGTGTGCTAGCAGTGGAAGATGAACTAATTTTTTCACCACAAAAAATGGAATTTGGTGAAAAAATAGTAAAACCGATTGGGATGCTCTTAATTGTCCAAACATTCAAAATTTAATTAACTTGGAGTATATATGAAGTACTAAGTTACACTTCAATAAACATAATGTAAAATTCATTATATTTAAATATTTTCTTATAATGAAAGAGAATTGAATCCCTCACTTTTTTGCCACTGAACACTTGATATTGACATCGATTTACCGCACTCATTGCTAGTAGACAAGAACGACATCAAGGTTACTGCGAAAAATAAGTTCGAGTATTTGTCATTCTGTATTTTTTTCTTTGGTAAATTAAGACCAATCCCATGAGGTAATGTCAAATTACAAACAAAATCCTATTGTTTGAGAAATTACAACCGTTCCCTTAACTATGAACTTCTTACACGTTCACCTTTGTAGTGTCAAATTTAACATAATCTTCTAAATTATATGAATATTCCCCAGTTTGTACCCGTTTTATCCCATTCAAGCTCCACATTTTAAAACAAAATGATCATAAGAATGCGTCTCTTGAATCGTAAATTAAAAAACAAAAACCATCCTTTTCTTTTTTTCTTTTTCATTAGATCTTTTTGAGATGATCGAGATCTATTTTTTGTTCGAGGTTCAAGAGGAAGGAGATGAACCACAACCCAATGGTGCTTTTACGAAAGTACGGTCACCGGTGGCTAATACCTTCTGGACACTATCGAACCTGAAATCCACTCTCAATCACTCCTTTTAGGTTGGCATAATCAAATTCATTTTTTCTCGCGCTATCTCAGAGTAGTCCTTGGAGAAAAAAAGAAACATTTTGTAAAACATTACTTTGTTCATTCATATATTCGATTTCACCAAAGAAAAACGATTCATTTAAATTTAATAAATGATTAATCGTAGAAAAAAACTTTTTGTCTTTCCTAACTCTAATGACTAGAAGTAGGGGTGGCAATTTGGATCCAGTTTCATGGATTCGATTAGATCCAGTTTGGTCCATATGGATCCAGTTTAGATTAAATCTAATTGAAACAAACCGAATCGGATCAAGTTGATTTTTTTTTTAAAACTGGATCCATGTGGATCCACTTTAGATCCATTGAAAGTTCAACAAAAAATGAAGTGGGTCATATTGGATCCAACCAAAACCAAATTAAATACTAAAATAATTTTCTCAAAAAAAAAAAAAGTCGAATATAATTTTAATTGTAAATTTAATAGATCAAACATTTTCACCCCTAATGTGTGTGTGTGTAGACACGGCCATGGGCCGGTTTTGGGCCCAGAACCGGCCCGTTGACGACCCGGCCCAACCCGTTGACCGGTGAACCGGCTCGGAACCCGTGAACCGGCGCGTCGTCCCCGGGACGGGCCTGGTTCTATGAAATGGTGAACCGTGAACCGCCGGCCCGGCCCGGCGGTTCACCCGGATTTAAAAAAAAAATTCAAAAAAAAAGCAAATAACAGCTAGTGAACCGGCCCGAACCGGCCCGGGTGAACCGGCCGTTATTTGCTTTTTTTTGAATCCCCCCCCCCAATTTTTTCTATAAATACCCTCACACCCCAATTTTTCCTATAATTTACTTATTCATCAAATATTTCAAAAAAAAAAAAAAAAAATCAAATTTTCCGGGCCGACCCGGCCCGCCGAACCGTGCATACTACGGGCCAATTCCGGTTCCGGAAAAAGTGAACCGTGAACCAGTATGAGCCGGCCCGGAACCGGCCCGAACCGGCCGTGGCCGTGTCTATGTGTGTGTGAAAAATGTCTTGGATTGTGTGTGAAAAGTGTGTGTGTGTGTGTGAAAAGTGTGTATGTGCATGTGAGTGTGTGTGCGTGTGTGTGTAACGTGTGAATGTTTATGTGAGTGTGTGTGTGTGTTTGTGTGTAAAAAGTGTGTATGTGTACATGAGTATGTGTACGTGTGTATGTATGTGAGTGTGTGAATAGTGTGTAAAAAGTGTGTATATGCATGTGAGTGTGTGTGTGTGTGTAACTAAAAAGTGTGTATGTGTATGTGTATGTGTATGTGTATGTGTATGTGTATGTGTATGTGTATGTGTATGCGAGTGTGTGTCGTAAAAAAGTGTGTATGTGTGTGTGTGTGTCAAAAGTGTGTGAATATTATGTGTAAATGTGAAAGTTGAGATATTAAACCACATAAATTGAGATAGTAAACCCTAAAAGTTGAGATATTCAACCTCATAAGTTGAATTACAGATGGATTGAATCCATGTGGATCGAATCCGGATAGGTCTAAATTCGATCCACATTAAATCCATCCATATAGGTTGATTTTAGATCCGGTTCCATTTGTATCCGATCCACATGGATCGGGATCGGACCCGGTCCAAGTTGCGAAATTGCCATCCCCAACTAGAAGTGATACTGATAATATGACATTTTCGACTAGAAAATATAAAACAGATATTGGGCATTCTAGAAAAACATTTTGCACTTCATTTACCAAAAAAGAAAATTTAAATCTATTTGTGGTGCATCAAAAACTGCATTTTTACACAAAATGAATACAAACTAGAGAACATTCCGCAGAATTTAGAACATTCTGTTGAATTTGACACCATAAGAGTGGACGTGCAAGAAGATTCATAATTAAAGGTGGTGTTTGTAAATACCCAAACATGATAAGGGTTTTTATAATTTGACCTTATCTCAGGGGTTAGCCGTAATTTACCCTTGTTTCTTTAAAAAAATTAACCAAGGTATAACATGATTAAATTATCTTTGGTTGAACCAATATTTAACAGAAATTGAAAAACATCTCATAAGTCACACTTCTCTTGCTCAACTGTTAGCCTCTTTGCCAATATTGCTTTGTCACCCCTACGTCACTCAATCGGTCTAAAGAGAACACATTGCAACAATTTGTTGTTTGAGTTTATCAAAGAAGGAACTTACTGCTATTTCCTCCAAAAATAAATGAATTAACATATTTTAACAAAATAGAACTTAAAAAAAAAATATTAATGTATTTCACTATTGATTATTTTTGCTAACTACTCAAACATCTTTATGCTTTTAACTATGTCTTATAATTTTTTTGTTTAACTAATTAAATTATCTTCAAGTAAATTTGAATAAATATCTACATTATCGATACATCATACCAAAACTTGAATAACTATGTGACCAAAAATATGCCCTATATTTAAAAGATAAGACTTGTGCAAATTAAGATAAAAGTTTTACTCGTACGTTTATTATATGGAATAAGCAGCGACTTACGTAGAGTTTTGATTTATTCGGTGTTCTTTGTGGCATATGCAATGAAATTTACACTGATATCATCAGAAATAGACCACTGCCCCGTGAGTGGGTTGTAAACAAAGCCAGCCATCTCTTGGACCTGTAACAGAGAAAACACAAGCATCATAAAAAGTCTCAAGTCTCGATTGTACAATTGATCCATTTGCTTCTTGTGACTTACAGAAATAGAAGCACGCTCGAGAATTAAAACTAGTTCTTCCGGTGTCAGAAAACTCGACCAATCATGTGTGCCTCTTGGGAGCTGAAAGTAAGTTATACACACATGTCAATTCCCTATGCATGCTACCAAGAATCTTGAGTTAGAGAGAATGAAACAGTGAAATACTTACCCAACGTAAAACATATTCTGCAATGACGATCGCAGTTGCATATGCTCTCATTGAACGATTAATTGTTGATATGAGAGTAGCTCCACCACAACTCGTCAACGCTGACAACGATTTGCAGAACTCTGCAGGTTCTGCTACATGCTCAATTACCTATATTATATGATCCAATACTGAAGATGATTAAATTACTCAAAGAGATGCATAAATGTTTCTCCTTTATTTTGAGCTATCGGAAAATCGCACAACTACGATTCAAATCGATAATAATGTATGTACCTCCAGTGCAAGTACAGCATCAAATTTCATCTGCTCTTCCACCATTTTCTCTGTCCAATATAGTAGCAATCATAAATCAGCTTCTGAAGATTACCATTTAAAAGTTCAAATGTATGGTTTTGAATCAATTACATAATATAGCTGTGTTGAATTACCAGAAGTGGCCAGCAACACATACACAAAGTAAGAAACAAATTTTGAAATACCAAAAATCAAACTGCTTAATATACTGCATGCTGTCAAACAAACTGAAACAAAAAGTGATAATTACGAGGTACATGAGGAAATATATACCAATACAACTTCAATTACTAAGATCCACCTACAGAGATTCAAACAACTGCCACCCTACCATACAATAAATAAATGAAGAAATAGAACCAAGAAGGAAAAGTAGAAAGTCGAGGTATAAAGGTTAAAACAAAAAAAGATATAAAGATGCAGATCGTTAAACTTAGAACAAAGAAAAGAAATAAAAAGAAAAGAAATAAGGGAAAAAACGTCTTATGCTTGTCGTAGATGAGAGTTTAAGCATGTGTAGATGGAATACATTAGTTGAGTGTTGGAAGATATGTAAAGTAACTCATATGTATAGCAAAGTAGATACAAACAAGTAGATTAGTAAAAAGAAAGATAATCAATTATTTTAACCTTCCTATTGAACAAATAAGAACGATGTATACCAGCTGTTGTGCAACGATAGTCAATAGAGGAAGTAATCGGATCCAAATCCTGCAAAAGATTTGCGCGTTCATTTACATAAACAACAAATGGAAGATTTTTTGTCATATGTATGCCGTGTTAGATAGTACACGAGTATAAATGTCATTATCATCACACAAAAATGACTTAACATGAGAGCTACATGCAAATCAACCAATCGGAAAAAGCTCCATGGATTTGCTATTATAGATTTGAAATCCTCTGTTTAAATCTCTCTATCCAAATGCAACCTCAAAATTCTTAACGAAAGACAAGCTGGTTATGGAAGGTAGTTCTTATATCCATTTCGACAGTTCAAACAATAATGATTTTTTGTTATTCAATGTCACGCCTCTTTCAATAATTAGACAGTGCAATAGTATAAATTTCATTAACACAGCACAAATGTACATCATATCAAAGTGATTCTGGATCAAATTCTAAACTGTTCCAGAGTGACAAGCTCAATATGAAAGGTGGTTATGTCTAGCAGAGTAAAACAGAAATTCAATAGGGGTGAGAATTTGAAATTTAAGTCCTTATATTCAATATCAATTCTACCAGCGAAGAAGTTCTGTTATACAAATGTAATGCCTTTTTTAATTATAATGTGATACCAATCATGCATGAGATCAAGATTTAACACCTTAAGCCTCCAAAAACCTTTCAAATTAGATACAGTCCATCAGTAAAGAAACTTCAAATACTTCTAAACACAGTTTTGTTATATCAAATAAGAATCTTCATAACCACTCCCACTCAAGTCTTTGAACAAAGCAAAACCAAGATACTAAAGTGAAATAACCCCTTCGCTTGTAATGGAAAAAGTTTCATCTGAAAATTAAAAAGAAAAATCTGAGGCCTAAAAGTGGTGACTTCGAGGTAGTTAAAGTGGGGGGTTTGAAGTAAAAGTGAAAAAGGGCTGTAAAATAGTAACCATAAAATCTGACAGCAAAATATACAAATATATACATCTTGTAAAATTTAAAAAACAAATGCCAAATATTATTTATTCAAACATAATAAATCATTTCCTGACGGAAACAAATGTATCGCAACCTAAACAACATGTCACAATTTGAGCAAAATATTCTCTAAAAATCCAACTAAAGGGGTCGAAGTCAAGATAGTATTAGCCGGATTTAACTTTGGTTTGAAAATAAAAAATTCTGGGTCTCTAATTCCAAAAAGAATTTAAATGCTAAAATACTAAAGTCCTAGTAAAATCATGGACTTTTACGAATTTTAGGATTTCGCACAATTTTGCTTGTTTTTGACTTCTGCTAAAATTCAATGAAATAAATGGTAGTAGAACTTAAAATCCTAGAATTTTTGAGATTTTATTCCCAATATTGACTATCACAGACTTACCTCACATATACTTGAACCCCTTACCAGAACCAAAAGTCCCATCATATCTATACCACATACAGATCCAAGACTAAAATACTCAAATAACCACATCTTCTGACTCTGAAAGTCCAATAATGGGAGAGTTCGAATATTCTAGACGTACTCCATCAATACAAAATTGGTGGATGATGAAATTATAGGATATATACTTGTGCACTAAAACATAAGAGGAATGTGCAGAACTGGTCCACAGATCTTAATTTTATTCTTCAAAAAGACATACCGCATGAAGCTGTGCAATCTTGATATTCTTTTCCACAGCGTCAACTCCTGTAACAGTAGCACCCATACGAGCCAAAGGCTGAATATGACAACAAAAATGATATCAGACAGTAGAAAAGAGTTACTTCTGGTACACATAAATATATTCTAGCTAACACGATATACCTCATTTCACGTGTTGACATTCCAATCATAACCAATTTTACAAAACAAATGTTCAATAAATACTTTGTTTTTGTGAAGTAGAAGATATGAGAATGTCAATGTAATGTGAATCATGCCAAGTTTGAAATATATCCATCAAAGTATATGTATACCTCAGATAAAATTCCGCCTCCGCAACCAACATCCACAAATTTCAATCCTTCAAAGGGCCTTGTAGAGTTTGGATCCTTTCTGAAACATGTTAGATTCATCAGACTCTATAAGACAACCAAGAAAGAAAATGTGACTGCTGATAAAAGGTTTCTCAGTTACCTTCAATAAATGCATTCATTTCAGTTTAAGATGTATGCTGAAGGAACGTAAAACGGAAAATAAATTTGGGACGTAAAACCAGAATATTGTTTCTTATGAGTAGTTCAAAAGGAACAGAAAAGTTTAGTGCAGTTCAAGAGGTAAACATTGCTGAGTGATGGTGAAAAAGATCCATCTAGAAACACCTGCATACGAAAGCATTTTGCGATCCTAACTGGACACATAAAGTTTGTTCAAAAGGATAATCACAATATATGATGGCGTACTCATTTTGCAACTATTAGATACAGAACAAAGTAAAAATAAAGCTTCACTGAGAAAACAAGGGGTTTACTACAAGTAACTTATTTCATATCACCCCTACTAAGTGAAAAAGTACATAAAAACCCATTTGTTCCATCCGTGTAAGGCGCATACGTATAAACTTAAAAAAAGAGAAGAACATGTAAAATCATGTTCGATTAATTAACGTTTCACATCTATTATACTACTAGGGTATTTCTATGATCACTGTCTAACCTAAATATTTATTTAATCATGGTACAATAACCATTGCGTGCACAACTAATGAGTAAAATTATGTATGATTATAAACACTTCAATAATTACAACCTGAGTAAATTATTGTAACAGAGAGCCATTGATGAAGTTACATGTCTCTTAATCTTTACATACTTAAATTACTTTATGCTCGTATAAGAAAACGGCGTATTTGAAGAATCCATCAAACAAATGTTCGATGAAATTTTATGTTCCAAATAGACTGTTGGCAACTATAATATCTGAAGATAAATAGTATTTTAGTCTCTGGTTCAACAAATGTGCAGCTACCCATTATTATCCTCTTTTTAACGAAAATTGCTTTTCACTTTTCAACCCCATTAAATTGATCATACTCAACAAAATCACAGGAAAGTTCAAGAAACTCGAGAGGGCAATTGGTCATACATTAGTGCCGATTCCTTCAACAAGAACTACCTCAAGTTTATAACATTTACATATCAAGAACTACCTAAAGTTTATGCATAATTCATTATATCGTATAATACCCTATGCTTTTTAACGTAATATAATACTGGTATTATAGTTGGAGTTGTTAAATATCGTATCATTTTGCACTAGTACTGAATCAATTGGGAAAGTTTCTGAAGCCAAAATTCATTCCAAACAAATAAATATGATTGCCAACCAACAAAGACATTTGTACATCTCCTGAATTCATTTATATTCACTTATATTATGTTAGAACAAGCTTAGTAAACAGTTTTGACAGGTAAATTTAGGTGAAAATTATGATCATCCAAGTATTTAAGTTCGATGATAAGACTAAATTTCCGAAACCAACTAAGAATTACCCAAAATGCCGGCACAAAGTGGACCTAATGAAAGCAAGCCTCGTCGGATTCATCAAATGCAACGGCTTGAACGGTCCTTCAGCATCCCACCTAATATTAATTTCGATATCGAATCGAATAAATTGACGAAAATAACAAAGTAAAATTTGGGGAAAAAATTGGAGCTTAAGTAAACAATACCAGGTCTCGGAAATGGCAGCAAATTTTTTAAGCTCCGTTTCATTCAGAGAGCTCTTCGACTGTAAATTGGACGCTGGTGGGGGAGTTGAAGCCGGAGCGGCTGGAGATGGCGGCGGAGCATCTGAAAATAACCGGGTTTGGAGTTCGTGGACGAATTTAGGGTGTGAGCAGAGATTCCTGGGTTGCGGAATTTGTAAAACGGGTCGGGTCATGGAGTAGATTCGGGTTAGCAGATGCTTAGAAACCATGTTTAGTCGGAACGCCGCCTAGAGCGGCCGGAACGGGTGAAACGGGATGGGATCGGCCCTCACCGCGCCAAAATTCACGAGGAGAAGTTGATAATTATGAAGGCGAAGAGGGAATAGACTCTGCTGTAGAGGGTGTCACCGGCGATTGGAGTGGAGGAGGGGCGGTGGAAGCAGAAGAAGAAATTTGAGGAAGAAAACGTACTGTATTCTCTAAAAAAAAATGTATTCATTTTGATTGTTTTAAGAAATTTTGTAAATTGCAATTTGATCCTAGATATTTGGATTATTCACATTTAGACCCAATTGGATTTATGTAGATCTACGATGCCCGGAAACTTCAACCCACACGCGTTTCCACGTTCCGGAAATCGAAACTCCATGACACACGTTTCGGGACCGTTTACATAAACATTTAAAATTTTTGGGGACGTTTATGATAATAATAAAAAATTGAAAACACGTTTCCACACAAAATAAATCCAAATTTCATTTTAAATAAAAACTTCGAATTGCATACGCTTAAAAGAATCTTAAATATTATGTCTCTTTTTCATTTCTAGTGGTATTTTAATATTTTGTAGATGTTAATCCAATACTTAAATTTATATTCCATAAATGTAATTTGTAGAATGATATTAAACATTATAATATTTTTTAGAAATTATGAATGCATCCCTATATTTTTATTCTTTACGGATTTCCCCACATTTCCGTATCCAACTTTTTTGAAAACGGAGTTTGCCTGTGTCCGTTTCCCTATTTCCCTGTGTCCGCGTTCCCCTGTCCGTCCTACATGGATGTAGATTTATTAAAAAATGAAAGGGAACGCTTAGTTTGCACCCCTAAATTATGGGGTGTGTATGAAGAAGACCCCCTGAATTACAAAACATACTGAAATGACTCATTGTTTCCAATCCATTTGTCATGTGCTGATGTAACAATGATTTTCTCCAATTAATGTCTCTTGACATATTTACCCCTCAATTTGCTATATCTATAAAAATATATACAATTTATATCCATAAAGATAACTAAATAATACCCATAATATTTTTTTATTTACTTTTGTAACCTATTTATATAATCAAATATTAAAATTATATTTTGATTTAGTTAATAAAAATAGGTATCACATCGCTGATCATTATTAGGGCTGGCGATCGGGTCATGTGAGCAGAATTTGGGTCGGTTCAAGCTCATATACCATCAGGCTTAGTTGTTATAGGTTCAAGCGCAAATACCATCAGGCCTCATTCGTATAGGCTCAAACTTGGCTCACGTATTTTTTTGGGATTCGTGTTTATACCAGGCAATAAATAAATTATATATTTTACAACTTTGCAGTTGAATATGTTAAAAACAAAAAATCATTGGCTCTTTACTAAAACAAATGATAATGTTGGAAATATTTAGGTGGTGTTTGTAAAAGCTTTTTGAAACTGATTATGGGTTTTTTTTCTCATAATTTGTTTTTAGGTGTTTGCAAAATAAACTTTTGCTTTTCCTTATCTTAAAATAATCTACTTTGAGCTATTTTTTTACAAGCATCCCTAGCCCTGCTTTTTCTATTTAAGTTCATTTTCCAGAATATTTGCAAACACCCACAACGTTTAGAAATAAGCTCTTAAAATAGACTTAACTCGCAATCACTAACTTCTGCTTTTAAATAAACTTTTGCAAACACCACCTTAATCCTTAATTAATTATATGAAAAAAATGCATTTTAGTGGAAAATGAAGAAATATAAAATAAAATACACAGAAGCAATTAGAAATGTCCTCCTAATTAACTCTTTTCGGAAATCTTGAGACTTGCAATATATATATATATATATATATATATATATATATATATATATATATATATATATATATATACATACATGTAGCACCCCCTTCTAATCGGGCGATAAATCGAACCAGTATCGAAATATTCATTTATGTAGCGGAAGCAAAAGGACCTCTTTGTAATTATTAAAACTTTAGAGTTGGACTTAATTATTAAAAATCTCTTCTTTAAGGTGTTTGAAATCTTTGTGATAGTTGAAAACTTTCTTAGAAGTACTTTAGTCGATTAAATGTTTCGTTTGAAAATAGCTTTCGAAAGGAGGATTTTTGTTCGAGTGCAACACCATCAAATTATTTATTTTTTGGTTTGAAAAGAAATCAGAGGTTGAGATATTTTGGTGAACGTTTCAAAAACTAATAGTAAGACGTAAAAATAACTAATTACTAAACGGGACAATTATATAATAACGTGAAAAGTACGATCCATACCGGTTTTTAAGCTCGTTGCTCTAAAGATGAATTCAGTAAGCAAAAGGTACGAAAAGGAAAATGGGTCTTTTTAATATTACATCACGAAAAACAACCATAATATCTTAGCATCGTTCATAGACCCTCGCACTACTTCCAAAAGTCCCGGGCAAGACCTCGATCCACTACTGGATCCATTTCGGTGGGGGTTACTGATATTACTACCTGCAATTATATCTATATGAGCCATAAATCTCAGTAAGAAATCCGATTCAATATCGAACCTTGAAAGTACGTTATATAGTACATTTAATATTATATAATCATCCTTACTCATATTCCAAACACCATAAGACAATCGGATAATTATGTTAATCACGAAAGCACATCATTTCCACATAAACACTTACTTATGCAAAATGATCAAAATGCCCTTTTTGTGAAAATCGTGTAAAAATATATTTTTCGTCTTATCAGATCCGTGAAAGATTAATTTCTGAACCTGAATAATAAACCTGTTACGAGCCCGTTTCCACTGGTGGAATCAAACCACACATTTCATCCTAGTTGGATACCGACCCACTATATCCGATTTGTTTATTATCCGGTATTCCATTAATCTTTCAATTTTAGAAATAGTGACGTGCATCTTTTTCAAAATCATGCTTATATTACAACAATTATATAAACATCACAAATATCAATAAAGTGCCATATACTCACACAATTACCATAACTTACATATTTATCACATATACACTTAGGGCTCATTTGATATCAAATATTGGGCCATAAACACTATATGTCATGCCTAATATCATGTTTGGTAGAAATGGGTAAAGCCTAGCATACACTTCCGGCCCGGCATGGTATCCTACACTTTGGCTGATTATGGATCACAACCATAAGGATGGATCCAATTTCCATGTCCAATATGTATTTGGGTATTAAAAAGGAAATTACATATGTCCCTTGAGATACAATAAATATTTCCCAAACCCTAACATTAAAAATATGTTCTACATTAGCGGCTGAAGATTCTCTCTTTTTTTTCTTACAAAATTTTATCTCATCTCACGTTTAGAGAATTCGATGTGCCCACACAATTCCTTTAAAGTTTGATTTCTTTGGTGAATGCGAAGAAGAACCCCCTTTCGTACAATAAATTTGAGGTTTCAATTTCTCTTTTTATGTGCTTCCATTATTTGCAAGAAATTTTATGTGATTCCCACTCAGGTTCTTCCTTAGTTTCATAAGCTTTAGACATTGGCATATTCTGAAAACGATCATATATAACACAAAACATAAATTAAACAATGGTATGAGATATCATAAAATGAAAAATTATGAAATAAAATTTACCTTCAACCATATTTTCCAAATTCCAGTAGGGGCATGAACAATATTTGTCGTTTTATCCCTGTAAACCCCGGATGTAGAAATAATGTGGAGAAAAACAGAGTACCCTGTTTTTAACTTATTAAACATTGCCATGCTAGTCTCGTATGAGATGTTTGTACCTAAGTCGATGTTTACGATGCGCCGTGCAATAGTAATATCATGTGAATTGGTAGCTATACAAGCAACGTTTTTCATCGCTTCAGCTTTTAATGTTTGAACAAAGAGTTTATCCATTTCTTTAGGCCATGAAATTGTATAGAAGAGGGACTCATGTAAGGAAAGGGGAGGTGAATTCACGGAAGAAAGACCCATCTTACATTTGTATGGGAGAATTGGATGGCTTGTTTGATAGCTCAATATTGCCTTTCTTATACACCATCACCAGCTTTAATCTCAAAATTTCAAGATTTTCATTATGGAATGAGATTCTAAGAATAATATAGCTATATTTGTCATATCTTTTTGCCAGAACTTTGTTTTTGAAAGTTTCTCAGTATTAAATTTCAACTTTCCTTTAGCACTCAATGAGAGTGGTTGAAATTTTCTTGCAATCCCTCAAAATTACTTTTTTTTTTTTTTTTTCACGTTTTTAATAATAGTAGTATAGGAATTTTACAATATTGCTCAATTTCTAATGTGATATACAAATAATTTAATCTTATTAGTAGAAAATGGTCTAATAAAAATATACCATACTATGTTTTCTTTTATTTGATTATGATATAGAAATAAATAAATAAATTCAAATATTTGATGTAGAAATATTTAATTGTATTAGTATTTGACAGTCACTAAATTATTAATTCATAGCATATAAACTGCTACTCTAATGTTGAAGAACATTAGATGAGAAAATAGATTCCTAAAAAAAATTGAGAAGATTGAAGATCTTTGTGGAAAAAAATATAATGGAGTAATGTTTGTTCAAATGGCAAAAGAATTACCACTAATTTATCTTATTTTATTTTATAAAATATGTAATATTAGTTGATATACCTAAGTGAGCCGTTAATGGGCCCACTAATTATTTCACCATATTGGGCTAGAAGTTAAGGCCCAAACGAACGAGCCCACTGGATTGATGGCTCAAGCCTATCATATTGACTGAATACCTAATTAGGGTTATATTCTAACTAAAACTAGAATTATACTCTAATTAGGATTCTACCACTAGTTAATATAAATAAGACCTCAGCCTCATGGGATAAGGTACGCTCTATTCTCTAGTTCTGATACCCAGAACTCTATTGTTCTACCTACTCATCTACTTCCCTAAGCCTCTATCTGACTTGAGCATCGGAGGGGTTTCCGCCGGATCAACCCCCAGCTCAGTTCACGTGTCTTAATCTTGCAGGTTTGAGATTCAGGTGTTCATCTTTACGTGGTAGGGACTCCAACCAAGATCATCTATTTGCGTGCAATGTTCTACCCTCGTGTTCCCATCAAATCTATCAAGGTGATCTACACATCATCATTCTGACGTCGTCTGTGGGAATGCAACCTAGATCGCGACGTAGACAAGGTGATAAGGAGAACCCCTACCCTCTGATGATGAT